AGCGTTTTACCCGCCCGATGCACAAACACTTCAAAACAATCAATAAAAACAGTCTGATCTCAGGCGCAATCATCTAGCGTCTCCAAATGTGTCTAGTATGTGCCTGTGGGTTAGAATAATTTTTGAGGAAATGTCATGTAAATAACCCTATTTGTATTACATTTTGTATATTTATATTGAGACATAGGCAGACAGAGAGAGAGAGAGAGAGATAGAGAGAAAAGGGGAGAAAAACATTACTATATAGTAGTAGCAGCAGCAGTAGAAGTGGGAGTAGTATCATCATCATCATCATCCACGTCGTCGTCATCAACAATGTAATTTAATGTTAGGTTTGTTATTGCTCAATTAAAATACAAAAAGAAACAGTTAAACATTCCATAGGCTTGCAACATGCCTCATCCGACTGTATTTACAATCACTAGATACACTAAAGAGTCCATGGGTAATGTTAAAAACAAATGAGAGAGAAAAGTGAGTTCACTTTCTACAAAAGGGAAGGTTTGACAAAAACTTTCGTCTACAAACAATTTGTACCTTGGCGTGTAATCTTATGAGCAAATGTCGTTAACTTACAAACAACAGAATCGCTTTTTACATCGCGGATATTCTGAAGGGCTAAATAAATATTTTCTCCTCTAGTTGTCATATGGACTTTCATAACAATTAAGATGTACAGAATGACACTTCACTAGATATAATATACCGGTCATATATTATGGTCACTGTCCGCATTTAGATGTTACCAGATATACTTAATGAGCTAATGTGACACAGTCTGTCATATATAAACACAACCGATTTGTTTTTCATTTGTTGCATTTCGCTTTAATAAGAGATCGTATAATATCTTAGGCCCGAAAGGTATATCTATGTGGAAATTTAGCTTCAGTTCCAGTTGCATTTTAATGTTTCATATTTCACATATTATATTCAACAGTTTGCAATGAATTCACAGAGTAAATGGTACAAATAAATGTGGATTCTATTAAAAGAAACAAAAAAAAAGAAGAAAGAGAGTACCTAATAACCTTTTTGTTACTGCATTAAATTAAAAGACTGAATTAAAAACAAGAGAGATATAAGGAGGGGCTTATGGTGAAAGCTATATGCTTGTGGTTGTAGGCCCCAAAGGGTACTTAATTTTGTTATATATAGCCTTTCTTTAAAAAAATAGAGAGAACGGGCAATCAGTGTCAATCAAAGTGATAGAATTCGTATTCCAACATAGGCAATACTACAGTGTCACTTTCATTATAATAACGTAACAAATTTTCATCATATGAATACATTTGCATTCCCTGTATAAACTTGCGTTATTGATAAAATAAAAGAATTTGCTGGGTAGTTGTAGATTTCACTTAAATAACAGGAAGTTGATTAGCTTGCTGGTTGAACAAAAAGAACAAGCCCGACTACGAAATGAATGTATGAAATGGCATAACAGACAATGGATATTTCCTAACCAACATCGCTCGTTCCTGATGAAGTAGCAATATTATAATCAATTCAATGGAACAACTCGATTCGATTTCTATTGAGCTTTGAGTTATTCAGAGCCACTCTCCCTAATATCAGCTATAATGTACAACTTCCAAAGGCAATCTCCGAAATTGATGCTATCCTTTGAATTTATAGAAAAGACAACGGGTCAATGAAACAGAATTCATAACGTTGCAATATAAGAAATTGCTTATATTATTAAAAAGACCTTTTTGTTTTTTGTTTTGTTGTTGAAGCCTTGCATGGTTAATAGATGGTCATTCGAACAGTTCAATTTCTTAATAAGCATCATCATTAGGGGAGATGGGTATAATCGTAGCCACGGACTTTTATATCATATATTCACAGGGCAGCACAATTTAAATTAAAAAGATCGTTTTGCTAGGGTGGCGCATCCGTTCGACAGGTTTTCCGATGTGGTATTCCTTCTGTTTTCACTCGAACTCTGACTTAGCATATGATCGATATGTTATCAATAATATAGCCAATCAATATCTATCAATTAATAGTGTACTCGATCGATTTTTCTTCAAACTGTTATGTTAATTCAGTTCCAATCTGTGTACATTACTAATGTGACATAAGTTTATATTAATAATCTTGTCTTTTGTGAAACCGATCGTCCCAAATCCCAAACATTAATGCTCGATTAAATCAATTGGTGAGGAAGTTAGAAGTCATAACGAGTAATACTCGTGTTACATACAGTATTAATAATCGTATTCCAAATGTTATTTTATTTAAGTTACATAGGCTATTTCCACACGAAACACACACACTCACATAGACGTACACAAAAATATATAATCTGTGTTAGAATATATGACTAGGTACTACATAATATAAAGATTAAATTCTGCGTCGGTGTTCAATTTACAGAATAACAGTAACAAAATTCAAACACCATTCAAGCGTAAGAAAAAAATCCTGACGTTTCTTGCATTTATATTTAAGTTAGCGCAGCGAAGAAAATGCTTAAATTTCCAGTCAATAAAAGTCTGTGAATATATTTGCTTTAGCGGTACATAAATATGATTTGCCGATGCTACGATCGAGCCAGCTTGGGCAAGGAAATGTAACGTTGTATGCGTAGAGACATGCGAATTGTGTGTACCAATCAATTTTTACCTGTAAGATGCCAATGTCAAATGTGATTGAATTACAATTCTGTTTTGGGATTGGAACATGATTCGCACAATGCATTCAATATAATTATGCACAAGTCAGTCAAGGATGTGGGCATGGAGTACCAGCAACAACACACCATTTTGCTCTTTCGACATTTTGCTTTATGTTGTCAGAGGTTCAGTGGTATACATGTAGGTTTGGGGCTGCGATTGTGTTTTGTGTTAGGTTTAGGGTTGTTTTTAGGGCTAAGACTGTGTTTGGGGGGTTAGGTTTAGGTTTATAATAATAATAATAATAATAATAATAATAATAATAATAATAATAATAATAATATAATAATAATAATAATAATAATAATAATAATAATAATAATATTAATAATAATATTAATAATAATAATAATATTCATAATAATAATACTAAAGATAATAATAACAGTATGTCTTGTTTACCCAGAGTAGCCTCATCAGTATTAATACTGTTCTCTCTGATGGCCCTGCAATCATATTATTACACCGGTCTTAGGTGAGGCCTAGGGTTAGGTTTAGGGCTGCGGTTGTGTTTTGGGTTCGGTTTAGGGTTATGTTTAGGGTCGGGTTGGGGATGGAATTAGGTTACGGTCGACGATAAGAATTCGATTAATATTATTAATGGGGTAAACTGACCGCCGGACGATCGTCGCCAAGCATATGTCGTACGACCCAAGTGCATCTAGGATGGTATAATTAATTTAATCCAGATTCTGCCTGAGACGTCATGCAGGACGGTCAATATTATTGAATTGCGATGTATGGACCCATAATAACACACAATTGCAAAGTCAATATTAAATTATGGCGGATGTTTTCTCCTTCAGACATCCATACCTCTCTGATGTAAACACCCTACCATCTCTCACCTTTTACCGTTTTCTCCCTTTGGGTGCTCCAATAACCCTTTTTTTTTTTAACCAAACGCCCCTCTCTAAATCTAAGGATATGCATATGTCCACGAGCGACAGGTGGCGAGGCCCTGAGTATTATGAGACAATATCAAAGGTACCTTTGCGGGTATAATATGAGTGCTATAAATATCTGTAACACGAAGGAAACGAATACCATGTGAAAAAATAATTCACAAGAAATATAATAACGACCATATTTATGCTGGGTGTACACGTTTAAAAAAGAAAAGAAAAACAAAACAAATTACAAAAATGTGAATTTCTTATGCAGCAGCTATGCAGCTAAGTTTTCAAGACATTCATTTGAGAATAAAGGCCAATGATTATGTTCTTTCCAAAAATATTGTTAGAACTACAGTAGGGTATAGACAGTTGGGTGCCCCCATCAAGCCTAAACCTTGTTATCTCTCTTCTTCGTCTTCTTTCGGAGAGTCATACTACGATGGCCTTGGTTATCGTTATAATCTGATAGCCATGTCGCCTTCATCCTCTTTATCATATTAAACTTTGAATCAATGAACCTTGGACGGCATAATTTACTGCTACTGGCCAGAAGACCTTGCCAGATCGATGAACATTTTTTAATATTTTTAATGAGATCATATCGGAATATCCACAGCGGTATACATGAAATAATGGCGTCAAAGAGAAGACATGAATAATGTAACAAACTAAGGTTAATTATCGCCATTGGCTTCTTCGCATTAAGGAAACAAAGAAATCTCATATGAAACTAGGAAGGCGTTTCTCGAAACCGCCATAAGTCTGACTTCCAGGACATCCTAGAGTTGAATTATGTCGCGTTTCTATGGAACGTCTGCGAACTTTATAGACTTAATAGATGAATCCTGATTGATGGTAATGGAGGTGGTTCTACCACATTTCACGTTGCATAGTATTAGTTTGAGACGAAAATCGAAATAAGCAATTTAACAGCTTTCATAGATTATCATAACCACGTGTGAGTGTGTCAAGCATAAAAAATATTGCCCTTCTCTTCAATGAGTTGAAATGTATATGTACTTCTTTTTAAAGACTGAAATGGAAGAAAAAAATCCATTGTACATCGACATGAAACTTTGGTATAATGGTGAATCGTGAATTACCAGTGGCTGAATCAAAACCAGAAAGGACATTTCTAAGTAGAAATAGAAGAAGAAGAAGAATCAAGGTTCTTTGTAATGGATATCAAACCATTCGTTTATTCATACCATATATAATTTCGGGGAAATGCATGAATATTTCAGGATTCGCCACATTTCACCACATAGCTAGCTATAAGCAAAGACGCCCTGCTATAACTATAAGAGGAAATACGGTTTCTATTACAAGATGTTTTGTCAACGAAGCACTGCAACGACAGCAATCACGTTGTCAATGTCTAACGGCCTGCACTGTGGAAAAAAAGGTTTGTGAATCCACTTACGTTATATGGTTGTTACTTGTCATGAAACCCTCCCTCTAAAACAAGGCGTACGGTATCCATTTCCAAACAATCATGATAATCCGAACTTGATATCTATCGTTCTGTAGCACGTGTCTTTCCTCCGTGTGCCATGTCTACAGCTCCGGTCGACACTGAAGGGACTTAAGCCGTGTACCAAACTGTCTGTAGTCCATCAGAAAGTGATCAGTGGTGGGACACAAAGAGGCTAGGGCATGATCTTCTTTTAATCTCAACTACAAATGCTTGTCAACCCCTTCTCTTTGATGACGGGGTTAACAATAGCGAGCTCGATCTTGAGTTAACTGTGGAGGATTTCAAGAGCGCTGATAATAACAACAATTCCTATTCACCAAGACACCTAAATAGTTGTGGTTGGACAGTTCGTCGTATCGGATTGCGATTGGGAACGAATTTGGTGAATCATTTCTTACTCCATTGGATGCTATGATAATATGGTGATAGATATGGAAAGTAGATTCTACTTCGAGTGTTTTTGTATGGAATACGAAATTAATTCAGTTTCTCGGGTTTTCCACATCTTACCCTTTCCTAAATACATTCATGATTAAAATTCGTAATTGAGGCACATTCTTCGCCACCCTCTCCTTTGAAGCTTGAATTCAAATAACATCAGCCAAAGAAAAAAAATAGAAATAACAGAAAAGTCTTCAATCTCATTCAGAATTTCTCCTTTATGAATAATTCTTATTTTTTTCCTCGTGTATCATCGTGTGATTAAACACCATCATAATGATACATCCGTCGCACCAACGAAACTCACACCAATCCGTACCAAATATTACATTACCACAAATGGCTCGAAATCGGTCGGTTTAGAGTCGGTTTGGAGGTGTGACTGAGGAGGTATCAATTTATTACATGTAATGTATTACCACTTTATCCCTCCGTCTAGCCCACTTAAGAGTCGAGTGGTAGAATGCAGCCCCTGGTTATGATGTAACAAAATTTTCCATCCCCTTCTCTCCTATTGTAACCCCTTCCCTTTCATGAAAGAGAGTCATCGACGTCTCCATAGCGACGTGGACAGGGATCACAAAAGGGGGTATGCTGTCACCCCTATAGCGGGTACGCTGTGGTTCTATTTAGGGGGTTATTGTTACCCCCTATTATCGCAGGTGGTGTAAGCGGTAAACGGTGGACTGGGATACTTAATGTACCAATTAATTATTCTCTTTTATCAAGGTCTACCGGTTTATTGATCAGGCATAAGAGGATGATTTGTCAAAGGTTCAATGAAGATGTATCGACTGTCAATTCATTGGCTTTGATGAGCCCCGCCCAGGGGAACCTGGTCGATTTTTCAATCTTTATTTCTTAAAAAAAGAAAATAAGCAGAGAAACACCGAGGACTAAAAAAGATCATCAAATCAAGATCAGTTCAGAATGATTCTTGAAGGGAAAAGATCAATGGTCAGTGTGTAGGTTTATTCAATTGAAATCTAAATGGCACTGTAATTCACAATAGCCTTTATAGAAGGGATGAGGTGCATAAATGGATATAATACGAGGTAACAAGATATTACAAAATAATACCGGGCCTCATGCATTATACAAAATCACTACCGTGCATCTGTAAGCTTTCATGTATTAAAATACGTCATGTTTCAGAACATATATTCGGTGGCGAAGAGAGAAATAATTCAAAATCAATTACAAAGAATAATGTTGAGTTTCAATTCCTTAAAGATAAACTTTAGTTCTGGTTATAAATATAGAATATAAATTCTCACAGAATCCCACGAAACTTACACTGAATGATCAAGATTACAAATAAATGACATGTGCCTAACAATTTTGGTAGAAAATGTATAGTGGCGGAGTAATGAGCATAGAAAGATAAGGAAAGCCAATCAATCTACTGCAGGATAAACAATCCAGAATAAATCATAGCAATGTGCTCTCAAAATACGATTTCAATACCAGAGCTGAAGATTAGCTTTAATAACGTGCAGCATCATAATGTGTTTTTTTATTATTAGGTTTATGAGAACATATTAAGATAAAAATCAAATTTATAAACAGTGACAATTATTCACCCAAAGTGGATTCTTTAATACGGATCAATATGACGTTTTATTGCATATACATTACAGTGATTTGATACGGCGAACCATTTGCATCCCTTTCAATCCTTTTTGAGGGAGGATTCAATACAATTATTGAACAGGCGGGAAATTGCCTCACCAAATTTGCATTCCCATCAAAAGTTGGCTTCTGAAGTCATCCATCACGCTACATGGACTTAATGTGTATAAAGTAAATCGTATGGGTATTAGCATACGTTATGAATCATGGGAATTAACACTAGACTCGCACAAGTATTGGCTGATTTGTTACTCTTTAGTCAGTTAGTTGTTGACTACAGACGTTTTGTCCTTTTTCTTTAAAGCGGAATGAGCAAGTGGAATATTATGTGTTCCAATTGGCACTGTAATTTCTATTCGAACTCTGCATTCTTTCAATGGTGAATAAGAAAGCCTTGATAAGTCGCCTAATTATATACAATTAGCCTATTTTTGTATATATGGAACAGTGTGGAAGTAATTATCACCGTGTCAATTTCTATCTGAGTACGACCTAAAAAATGGTGTATATTGCTTAATTAAACGGGAAAATAGACCACCTTTCCTTACTTTCCCCTTGACCGCAACTTTTGTCACGAAAGATCCTTGTAAAAATTAGAACACTTTCCTTTCTTTTATTCAGTCATCCGTAATGCCTGGCAATATTTAGTTAATTGGACAGATTATCAGATATTATACTTTTTTCCTCGATTCCAATTAAATTGCTTAGCATATGGGGGTAGGTGCAAGGTTTCACGCAAAATGAGTAATTAGTTTAGCAACGAGATCGAAAAAATCCGGAATGTTAAGATAGAAATCGGAACTTTTAGTGCCTTGTCATTATGACAGCTATAATTACTAAAATCGCGTTAAATTACAAAATTAAAATTTGTCAATATTGTAACGATCGATCAGGTAAATGTGTCAAAATATATTTTAATATGGGGAATTTTATTATTTGTTCTATGGTGTCGTGTTGAACCAGTGACATTTGTAATTGGGTTGACATATTTGTCTACAACGCAAGCTGAGCTATTAAGCGTTTGTTAACAAATCAAAAGGTTGGAAAATCTAGGCTTAGGAAATTCGCTTTTATACAAATTACGATTCAAGGGACTTCTTCATGTTTCGAGTAAAAAACGAAAGTGGTTCTTAATATGCGTAAATCTACTTCAAACATCTTGAAAGTGGATATCAGACAACTTCAGGAATGAGAAAATAAATAATAAACCAATATCTTTCTTTTTCTCTCGCCTCCCTCATTGTTTCACACTCTTTTCACTCACTTATAATTCTTTGATTATTCCGTTTTTATCGGGTACCGCATGGCTACATTACGTACGAGTCATCAGTTCCGTTAAACCAGTCGTGTGCTTAATCATAAGCACTGTAGGCGCTGCAAACTCTGAGGCAATCGAGCACCCGTCACGGATTTATTTCCTAACATCCATCAAAATTGTCCATTGGAGGCAACTAACGGTAACTAAAAACAACATATGAAAGAATTGAAATGGTTGGTGGGTAAAAGTCTAGACTCGTCTAATTCATTATTAATATTTATAGTCACATCACCAAACAGACTCCACACCGACTCCAAACTAACTGATTTTCTTTTTTGCCAAAGAGGTAATGTATGATTTCTGGTCGGTATTTTGTCGGTCTGGTGCTAGTCTTATCGGTGTGTCTCAGGTATAATTGATAATCAATTTCCTTCAAATAGCAACGAAAGTAAACGAGGACCGGCAAAGTCGGAATATATCATATTAATATGTATTAATTGTTTTACCCCATTAAATACAGTATGATTCTCTGTTGTGAAATTTCGATAGTTTCTTCTTTTGAAATTAATCAATATCTGAATCAGATTCCCGGTCAATTAAGCTCAGAACAAATCAACGAGAAATCAGTGGTCAAGCAACAAGAGAAATCGGTTATCCGATATATCAAATTAAACTATAGGAACTTGTGTCGCTAACTTGGTAATTCAGACATGTCAAAAACCAAAAATTAATATAGGATAATCCCTAAATAACCTAAAAGGTGCATAGAAATGAAATTTTAATTTCGTTTCACTCTTACCAAAACCGTGAGCCTAAAAGAAGAGGAATAAGAAGGGGTGTAGTAGAGGAAAAAAAAAGAAAAGTGGGTCTCTTTTGTACCTTAGATGTATTATGTGGTGTGCCCTGTACCAAAGGCCCTATACCTAAAGAGGTATTTGGATACAAGCATTACCTATGCAGATCGAGACAAATCGAACAGAATAGAATCAAGAATAACCCGAGGACAGATTGGTTATCCGACCCAGGCCCTCAAACCGAACCACATTCTACTCACCCCACTTGATCTCGCACTCCATGCGTAGTCGCTCACACTTTAGTTATTTTCATGTACTTGTATTTAGTTCTCAGAGGTTTTGTTTTTTTCCTTTCTCCCTCCCCCCCCCCTCTCTCTCTCTCTCTCTCTCTTTCTATCTCTGCCCAAAATCATTTTGTTTTGGTGGTAGGTCTATGGTCTTTTCGAGTGAATATCTACGAACAAAATAGAATCAGGAATATCCTAGGCCTAGGGATGCATAGGTTAGCCGATCCCGGCCCTTAAAATTTCGTACCCATAATCTCACCCCACTTACGCAGTACATCTTGAGTCTCTCACACTTCTACTATTTCTTCAATTCCCTTAGCCCTACGCCCCCCCCCCCTCTCTCTCTCTCTCTCTCTCTCTCCCTCTCACTCTCTCCTGCTTTCTCTTTGTGACTCCACTTTTTGATCACTCTCTTGAATTCTACCACAGGGACTTTACATGAAGAGGTAGCTACATGCATTACGCATACTGATCGACTGAATGTCTACGAATAAAGTATTATAGAAAATATCCTAGGGATGCTCCGTCACCCGATCCTGGACTTCAACCCACAGACCTCTTCTATTTATAGTGTGTACATGCTCTCATGTTCGGAGTTCCTTCCGCATACCAAATCTACGCACACCCACACTCTCAACCCACTCACGCTCTACACGGTAGACTGTGCAAATGTAACTGTGACTTCCAAGAGTTAACCTGCCTCCCCCTCCCTTCCCCCTCTCTCTCTCTCTCTCTCTTTCTCTCTCTCTCTCTCTCTCTCTCTCTCTCTCTCTCTCCTTTTCATCTTCCCTTTATGATTATTGAGTTCCACATAATTCTCGCAATGTTACTTGACAATCACTTATCTTGAATTTGTTGACGTGCAAATTGATTTTAAAAGGATACTAG